CAAAACCTCGTCGAAAACACACATCTCTACGCTGAAAGCTTAAACTCGCAAAACCTCGTCGAAAACACACATCTCTACGCTGAAAGCTTAAACTCGCAAAACCTCGTCGAAAACACACATCTCTATGCTGAAAGCTTAAACTCGCAAAACCTCGTCGAAAACACACATCTCTACGCTGAAAGCTTAAACTCGCAAAACCTCGTCGAAAACACACATCTCTACGCTGAAAGCTTAAACTTGCATAAATGTTACATGGTTTGCCGTATCGATGGTGATAGTAGACTCACCTTCGTCCTTTTTATTGACAATGAAGTCTTGAATTTTCCAAATATTCGTAAACTCGTTTATAAACGCAAATGCCCCGATTGCAGAAATTTATATAATTTTCCATGTCAAATAAAAGATCATAAGCTAACAACACATTCTGGCATAAGATGTGAGCTCTTAATTTTTTTTCTTACTGTTAATAACCGTCACTAAGAGTTTAATTAAAATTTGGATTCTTCCCCATAGTGTCCTGCCGAGCTAATAATTGTCATAAACGCTTTACATTAAATGGAAACCGACGCCGCCATGAGAAAAAAAAACATAATTACATTCACAACGAATAAAATTCGGCTTCCTTTCGTCCTCTTAAAAAAAGGTGAAACATATATGTGTTTTTCCCTCTTATAATATTTTGCTTCATGTTTAACTTCTTACTTTATTATCAGAAAGGTCGATATTATTCATCGAAAATAACGGAAATTGAAATTAATAGTAGTATATTGGGGGAAAACCAAAATTGTAATTACGAAACCAAGTGGTTAACGGTGGAATATATACTGTATATCATTTTGAGTGTTGTTTTGTTTGCCATAGATACCTCATTATTAATTGTTCGATCCACTAAAGGGAGTTCCATTTGTACCTATCTTATTGTTTCTAGACCTAATCGTTTTGTTTAAACATTATGTACTATATGCGGAGTTTAGAAAGCAAATTTCAATCATGTGATATTCCTATAACCAAATTTACTTGTTAAAAAAATTTTGCATAATCATTTGTATTGTGGTACAGAAAGGGTATCAAAATGGAAAAAATATACGTAATAAATTTTTTAACCTTCACTTCTAAAAAATAATTCATCAGTGAGTTGCATACGGTATATCATTTTTTAATTACTTCTTTTATTGAGTCTATAATATTATAGATTTTATCAAGTTCAATATTATTTCTGCGCAATAGACTTTGATAATTCAGATTCAAATTTTTGAATTTGATTTTTGTGAATTTAACATTTGATCTTTCTTTGTAATTTAATTACTTTTTTAAAAAATTTTTATTTTTTTCATTTTTTTTTATTTTATAAAAACATATTGTTTATTGTACAGTAAGTCTATATCGGTATTATTACATTTTATTTTTCAAGGCAGTAACAATATTAATAAACATATGAATATACAATCTAATTAAAAAAAAAAATTTTTTTTATATTATAATAACAAAATAATCTGCATTAATTTTGTTGTATAATAATTAGATATATTATAAGAATATAAGAATTTTAATATAATTATTTAAATTTATAATTTAATATAAAAAATGAATTAACAAATTAATTTTATTAGTCCTGGAGTATAACCTGGACTTACATACTAGTGTAATTAATAAAATAAACTAATTTTATTAATAACACAGGCTTATGCACTAATGGATAATAAAAAATTTCTTTTTCTTTGACGAATTACAAAATCAAGATGCATTTGACAACAAACATTTGAAGGCCATGCATATATTAGTGTCTAACCCTTGTTGTCCAAAAGAAATTAATTAAGCATAATTTCACATTATATTAATGTATTATTAATTTTCTCTTCATAAAAATTTTTCTTTTGTCTTTATTTATTTTTTTTTGACGTATGGCTGTTCAGAAATAAAAACCAAGTAACATGATATTTACTGCACATGTTTGTGATTTTATTATTATTATTTGAGAATATTTTCTTTTGTAAAATCTTTGACATTTTTAGTGATGGTAACATATTGTAACTGATAATAAATCTCTTGCCTTGCATAATTCTTTATTCTCGAATTCCGTATACCTTAGTTGAAATAAAATATAATAAAACTTGATGGGATAGTAGGTACATAATCAATAATTACTAGAAGTGAATCATTTTTTTATTAAAGAATGTACATTATTGTTAAAGAAAAACTTGTTTTTGATGATGATAAAATAGGATTTTGTTCAAGTTGCGGGAAATAAAGAACTCATACTTTTTACAAATAACAGCACGTTTTTTTTCTTAGTTGATAAAAACCTAATAACCTTTGTTAGTCCGACCTCTAATTTAAATCACGCATTTTACCTTATTAGTTAAAGAGTGGATTAAATTATTATCGAGTTATTCCTATGCAATTAAATGCAAGTAGATTTAGAAGCATATATTCGTCCTATAATAATGTCTTAAAGGTATAATGTAAAGTGCCTTTCAACAGAAACAAAGTTTCATGTGTTTAATAATATCTGTTTATCTAGTTTAATAAATAGAAGAGATCACGTAAGGTCTTATGACGTGTGACGTTTGTTAATTTTTCGGTATAATTTTTTCCATTTATTCAATACTAAGCACATCAAAAATCCTTAAAAGGAAATTTGTCAAAGGAAAAATGTCGACAACAATAATGGTTTTGACAATATGTGACATAATGACACAAAGCATTTATTAGTATATGATTTAAGATTTTTTTAATCATTGTTATTGATTGATAAAAAAAAATTTTTTTTTTGGTTACAATTCACTCGTTATTACAAATAACAAAAATTATTTTCATTATAAAAATCATTCCATCTGGTGAGTTTTTTTTTCTTTACATAAAATGCATACATGTTTGAGACGCCGAATGATTTCAGCATGACTTATTAAGACTTACCTCTCTTTATTTGTGTCTGTTGATATGTAAAAAATAATAGGATTTTATTGTTGTAGTACGTACATACAATTTATGCAAAATCCATGATTTTAGTGACACGATCTTCTATCCTTCAATCCTGGCGGGTGTTCAAAAGATTTGAAGGATCAACAAAAGTCAGTTCAGTTGTTACCATGCACAAATTAGGTATACGTACTGTATATACTAGATATTTATTGTATATTTAGCGTATATAGAGTATTAAGAAAACTTATAATATCCAAACCAAACGTTATTAACAAAAATGAGATGAACATACCATTAAGGTGTAACGGATCATTTGAATTTCCAAATTTGATGTTACAAACGTAAACAGACGGCTTTGCTTGTGTGAAAGATTGTCAAAAGATACTAGGATTGAAGTGACACGAGTCGGTAATGATAAAAATCCTTCACGTTTGATTTTTAAAATCAATTTAAAAAGTATATATAAAGACAAGTCACGATTTTCCTTATCGTAAACAAGAATGACACAACGAAACGTTACTTGTTTAATTGATTCTGTAAAGCTTCATAACGCAACTGGGGGTGGATACAAAATATATAACCTTATAACAACCTTCGAAATTTTCATACCACTCCCAGAAACTAGCTCGTACATAATTTTTCGTTTCAACGACGAATATCAGAAATCTCAGAAATCAGGGAAATCCGGTATAATATGGGGTTATATCTATGGAAAAAGTTTAGACTTCATGGATCGCGTGAAACATGCAATCTCTGTTGAAAGTACAGAAGAAAACATGATTCACTGCGATGGAGAAAACTTGGACTCGTCGGTCTTCGAAGACACGGGCTATATTACTGAAAGAAGCTTTGACTCGTTAAACTCCATTCGTCCGGAATATGTAATTTGCCGTATCGATGGTAATAACAATCTTACCCTTGTTCGTTATATTAAAGAAGAAACCCTAAACTTGTTAAAGAAACGTGAACTCGTCCGTAAACACATATGTCGCTACTGCAAAAAATTATATAAATATCCATGCCATTTAAGAGACCACGAGCAGGTTCATTCTAATATAAGACGTAAGTCTTTTTTTTTTTTTAAACTCGTTTAATTTCACCTAATGTTAAGGAGCATTAATAATGGTTCTTTTTTTTTTTATTTCCCCTAGTGAAATGTCCAGTTGAAGGCTGTAAAAAGTCTTATACATATAAAGTAAATATGAGGCGTCACGAAAAGAGTCATTATTCTAATTAAAATTCTTCTACCAAATATAAATGAACAAAAACCCATTTCTTTTTTTTTTCCTTGAAATTCGAAACATTTATACTTAGTTGTTAGTTGGTATTATATGTACATGTATATAGGTTTTAAAAAACGGTTAACTAAAATTTCTACTTTCATCGTGGTTTGAACGCCTCGGTGTTAGAAAGGACGATATTATTCATCGAGAGTCTATTAACATAACTTATAATTTGCCGAAGATTATAATTACGGCCTACTAGTAAAGCATGTTATGTTTTTTTTAAGAGATGGTTATTTGCTATACAAACCTTTTAACACTGCTGTATTTATCAATTTCATACCGGAAAAGGTGTTCTCAGGTCATTTTTTTCCTTGAAATTCGAAAATTTTTTGTACTTAGTTGTTAGTTGGTATTATATGTACATATATATAGGTTTCAAAAAAACGGTTAACTAAAATTTCTTACTTTTCATCGTGGTTTAAACGCCTCGGTGTTAGAAAGGACGGTATTGTCACCAAGAGTTTATTAACTATAATTTACGGCCTACTAGTAAAGCATGTTATGTTTTTTTTTAAGAGATGGTTATTTGCTATACAAGCTTTTTAACACTGCTGTATTTATCAATTCATACCGGAAAAAGAATTCCGTCTGTGTTATCGTTCTCAGACCTAATCACTTTGTTAAACACATATGGCAGAATAACATTGTAATAATCCAAATTTTATTGTTAATTTTAATAAGTAACGTTGTACTGTCATCAGTTTTTTTACAGTATAATAACGAAATTTCCAACATTTAGTTAGGGGTGAAAAAAAAAACTAGAAGGCTGTAGTTATCAGAAGAATAAGTCATTAATGATCATATTCAAATTATCGATTGTAAAAAAAGAGTTAATTAGCTCGATTCCTGGATAAACACTAGTTGAAATTTTGATTTATCATGAACACAATAAAAATAATATTTAAACTCTAATACTAATTAGATTTCAATATATTAATTTTAAAATAATTAAAAACAAAATATCCAAGGTATTATAATAATAATAACAATAATAACTACAATTTATATTTTATCTATTTCAAATTAAATACGAACTATTTCGATTAAATACAGTTAAATTAAATGGAAAATTTAAGTATAGTCGAATCATTATTTTGTAAAATTGTTATTTGAATCTAATGTTGTTCAATTTTAAATATTTAATAAATAAATTAATTGTAAGAATTTTTAATTATAAAAAAAAATTATAAAATATTTTTTATGACATTTTATAAGAAATTTAAAACTAAAAAGCGAATCTGTTATTTAATTTTAATTTATTATTTTAAAAGTGATTATTAATTTTTTTAGATTAAATCAACAATATTAATTAACAATGGTTGGATATTAATTTTAATAAGAAATAATAAAATAAAAATTCTTAATTATTTGATATTGTTAGGGGGAAAAAACAATCGATGATATGTCTTAAGAATTGCATAATAAAGATCACTCATTACAGAGATTGCCTAATCAGGTAATTAACTCTCAATCTTGCTTGTTCTACATGATCAGTTATTTCTGCTTGTTCTGCTTGATCGATTATTTCTGTAATTTTTGCTTGTTCTATGTGATCAGTTATTTCTATTATTTCTATTATTTCTTTTATTTTGTTTTGCCTCTAGAAAAAGTATATAAACAATGTAATAATTAAGTAATAGAGAAAGAATGATGACTATCAGAAAAAATTAATAAAAAAATGTTCACTAATAAAAATTACTATATTTATCAAACTGTTCCCAACCAATTAAAATTTCCTCAAATCATTGAAACTCACCAAATCCATGCCTTTTTTCTGCTTATTACCCCTTATAAAACCCATAACTTCTGTATTAGAGAGTCATTAAGTCAAGGTTTTGTGACATATTAGTTTAAATTCTGATCCATAACAATATACAATATATTAAAAAAATAATTTATTTAATAAATTATTGTATAATATATAGTAATCAATATTTTATATTATAATAAAAAATAAAAAATTAACTTATTTTTTTTTAAAAAAAAAAATTCCATAATATTTAAAATGAAAATAATAATAAAATTTTAAGTCTAATAATAATAATTTTTTTAATAAAATCAATTAATAATATAAAAATTTTTTTAAAAAACCAAATTATTAAAACATTATACAGTATTATATTTGATAAAAGAAACATATAATTTAGCAAATAACAAAGTTAAAAATCAAATTAGAATAATAGATTTTCTATATACTATAAATATAATAATAATAGATTTTCTATAAATATAATAAAGTTATAGGGGAATTAATCGTGATCAAGGAGTTAAACAATAATAAACCTTTTTTATATTTTTTTAGAATATCCAAAAAAGGTAGAAACAGGTTTATTTTTGTGTCGTAACTAATCTATAAAAATAGTTTTAATTTTAAAAAATATATTTTGTAATAATTTTTCAAAAAATTGTTTTGTTAATAAGAATAATTTATTATAATTTTTCTTATTAATATTAAAAATTTGATTTCTAAAAAAATAAAATCTATTAATAAACATTTTTTTTACAACATAATAATCTGTTATAAAAAAACACAAATAACCTAATTGTTGGAAAAATTCTTCGTGTCAACGCACAATTAGAAGTAGCTAATTTAAGGCTTTTAACGTTCGAGGCAGTTTCAATTTGGTCAAGGCTTATACTTAAACTTATTTTTAGAATCCTTCATCACATTCAATTCTCTTAGGCAAATTCAGTTCATTCATTCACTCGCGAAGCACGAGTTACAAGTAAATTGCGCATGAAAAACATGAAGAGAGTTTATGTTTTTTTAACTACTTTATTTACATCTTCCGTCTCTAAATACTATCGAATTATACATGTGCCGAATGTTTTCCATCATTCGTGACAAAATAATAACGCAACATGTTACTCGATGCACACCTTACCGCATTCGCCCATAAGCTATAAATATAGGTAACTACAGTATTTTCGAAAGAAGACAGGAATTTTTAGACTCTGAAATATAATCCTAAAATTCGCGTTACATCATACGCGTATTGCATTTTTAAAATTAGTGAACGAAAAATTTATATTCAGCATTTTATCGCTTTTAAAGATAATTCGCCGTTTATTTTTACACAAATGCGAAAGTTCTCGTGATTCATAAATTTCAAAAATCAACATGGGAACACTTAAGTTATTTAAAATTGGAAAAAACTTTCTACAAAGTATATTATTAACAATTTTGTACACCAACTTCCAACAATTGAATATTTTTGAATATTTTGTTGTTATACATAATCCCCGTGTTGCGGATTTCACTTGATAGACCATGTAGTTAAGCAAAAATTTTATTACAATTTTGAGATATACAGAAACATTAATTTTTAATATTTTTTTTTTAATGCTATTAGATGTAAGTTATATGTACGTGTTTTTTGTATGTGTTTTTTGATGACAGAGAAAATCCATTTTTTCTGAAAAATATTCCCGACATCCGTCATAATAACATATGTATACTGAAGATAAAAGATAATACATTAGACTTTGAACTGATCAGTCTAATATTGATGTATTTTAGTTGAAGAATAAACTTACGCCGATTTTGATCATGCATTGTTTTGTGAATTTTTAGATTGCTTTTATGTTGAAAACTTTTTGAACAGTGAGGACATTCATGATAACCGGTATAACCGGGGTAAAATATCGAAAGTGTTTCTTGGACCATATCGAATGATTCTGTTAAATTTCAAGAGGATTAAATTATATCATTAAGTTGTGTTTTTTTAGTCAATTTATTTATTTATAGTTACGCAAATAGATGAATCACCTTTATAGAGATAATTGTCTTCAACAGAAAAAAAAGAGGATTTGTTATTTTTTCAGCTTGCTTGCTTGCTCCAAATATGAAGAAGATTACATTCGATAAAGTTTTCCGATTTATATATTATTTTAAAGTCATCAAAAATTCCATATTGTGTAATTAATCTTGAATCTTTAGTTGTTTATACGCTCGTGATAAGAACGGTTGTGTCCCACATTTTCTAAAATCCTTAAATCCTCATACGTGTACATATAAACTGGCTGATTTGACACATTATATTATTGTGCCACAAACACTATATGCATGATCAAAAATCATGAATGCTAGCCATATTGATCCAACTATTTCAGTCTATTTTGATTTAAGGTACACAGTTTATGAAATCATTTATGATAATCCGGTTTTTTGTTGAACTTGCATACATTAAGATTGATCATACGCACTCAAATCCTTGTATTCATGACAGATGTCCGATATCATTAGCTACCTTTTATTTTATATTTAGAAATATAATACTGCACTTTCAAGGCGTAGTTCATATGAAACTTGAATGTCATTTAAATCTTAAAAAATTAACAAAAAAGCAATCACGCCATTAGGATCTTGATCATTAGCGTATCTGAATAAATAAATATTGATTATACAATAATATTAACAACATTTGTTTTGCTATCGTTACATTTGATACTTATTTGCAACAAATGCAAGAATTTTGTCAATATGAATCATTAAATATATTTGTTTTGAGGTTAATTTGTCGATTCGTCGTTAATCGTGTAATATCCCATTGTGTATCTTTGGCGTCCCAAGAATGGATATTCGCGCGGCGCAATAATTTTCCAAGTATTTCAGGCATTATTTATTCTCTAAACATTATACGAATCAAGAATTCGCACTTACTTATTATAACAATATGGTTCCTTTTTTAGTCACAATAATAATAATTTTTTTTTTGTATGTTTTATGAATGCTGTTTGGACGGTATAAGAACTTATAAAACATCGTAAATTTAATCATCTTACACAAAACTGTTGCCGGATCCATTTCAAAGTCGATTTAGGGATTTGGCAATTAACGGTTACACTTTGAAAATTTAGTACGTGTTACAAAAAAATCAACAAAAAAACATCCCCACGCATACATTTTCAAATAAATAATAGATAATATGTCAGTATGAACCAAATATCT